CTCAGTTCTGCAGCATAGCTTCGGGAGTCAAATCTGAATGCTCAATATAGAGAGCACCTTGTAATAAATTCTTTCCTGCTTAGACAAAAAATGCATTCTATTCTCTGCAACTGAACCCTGCCCAACACTGGCAACAACTCCAGGGCATGTCATCAAAGATCCAGATTCTTTCCATCTTTATACTTTGCAGGCTTAGCAAATCAGATTAGCTCTCCTCATGGTCAAAGATAGCTGCAGTTGCCCCTATGATCATAGCCAGGCCTAGTAACATCCAAGAGAAGAATTTCTTTTTCTTTTTGATTGTTTTCTTAACTGAAGTGTCCCCTGAGTCAACAAAAGTGCCTGTCACATAGCAGGCCAATAAAAAATGTTTGTTAAATGAATGAATGTGTCACTAGAACTACAGAAGAGTCTGTTAAGGGGCCGGCCTGCTGGCCCAGCAGTTAAATTCACACATTCTGCCTCAGCAGCCCGGGCTCCACTGGTTCGGATCCTGGGTGTGGACCTATGCACCGCTTGTCAAGCCAAGCTGTGGCAGGCATCCCACATATAAAGTAGACGAAGATGGGCACAGATGATAGCTCAATGACAATCTTCCTCTGCAGAAAAGAGGAGGATTGGCAGCAGATGTTAGCTCAGGGCTAATCTTCCTCAAAAGAAAAAGGCTCTGTTTACTTTTCTGCTAAGAGGATACAGTGCCGCGAAAATGAAAAGAATATTTCTTTTAAAGTAACACACACACACATACGCAACATAGGTTGAGTTTTCATATTCTAATACTTTGGTTTCTAACCACGCAACTCCAACTCAATTAAGGAGAAAAACAAAAGAATGTATTATATTATTATAAAGATACAGTGACAACTTGTGGAACTCAAGAATAGAGCTCCAGCTGGGCCTCCAGCCAGGGCTGGGAACCCGCAGAGGCAGAGAGGCAGGCAGACCAGGCTGGCCTGCAGTTGTTGCTGAAAGTCAGTATGCACTCAGGTCACTGCTAGGCACTCATGTCTGTGGGCTGCATGGGCTGGGGCCTTGGGCAGCAGTGCTCATGAGACAGCCAGACCCTTCTGTCTGCATAGACTTGGCTGTCCCCATGGCATTCTGGATATGGTCCCAGCACCAAGAGAGGAGCAGCTACCTCTGTCTCCAAGAAAATGCTTTCCTCTAGCCCAGGGACCTGGAGTCATTTTTCTATAAAGGGCCAGATATTGTATATTTCCTGCTTCGCAGACCACGTGATCTGTGTCATAATTACTCGTATAGCACAGCCATAGTTAATCGATATGGCTATGTCCCCAGAAAAACTTTTTTATGGGCACTGAATCACAAAAATAATTTAGCACCCCCTTTTCCAGCTTAGCAGAGGGACTGTGCTTTCTGACCAATGCTTCTCTACCTGGGGCAGCCTTAATCCACATCACCTATCCTGGCAGCCAGGAAGCTTCCCCTTCTCTGGGGGACCCCACCTTTTCTGTCACCAGGTTCCCTTCCTCTACTTACCACCCCGCCCACACTCCAGAGCTGTAGAGCTTCCCCTCCCTTTCCTAACTTCTAGAATTCGCTTCTGCATTTTCTTTTCTCATTGACACTCAAACGGTGATCTTCTGCTTATCCTTCTCTCCAACCTGCTCATGGGTACAGTCACAACCAGAGAACAAACTACGTAGGAAGCAGAAAAGATAATTTTCTTATCTCCTTGTTACTCACAGTGTGTGAGGCTGCTGGACCTAGGACTCTGTACACTATGTGACCACAAAGTCCCAAGATTTCCAGTGCATGGTTTAGAGATCAGGATTTGCTGGCTTTGTGTCAGCCAGCTAATGGTATCCCTGAGCCTGCTCTCTCCTAGGTGTTACATAGGATATACAGAAATCGTTAAAATTGCACAACTGCAAATAGCCTTTTGAGATGATCTGGCCTTTTTATTTCCTTTCTCTGTTTTCAGAAGCAAGATACTTTCATCTTTTTTGCAAAACCTTGAGATTCCCCAAGGTTTGTGGTGGTGCTAACCAAGGGGAGAGAGGCCTCTGTGTGTAGAAGTATGTATGCGGTAGTGGATGGGGTTGGGATGGGGAGGTGATGAGGTAAAAACAAGCAACCCTCTGTTTGTAGGGGCAGTGGAGACGTAAAGGGAGACACAGGGAGGGGTCACAAGGGTAGAGAAGGAAGCAAGACAGCAGCTGCAGTAGTAGACTGTAGGCCTTGTCATTCATTCAAAACCATTGAGGGACAGATGCTGAGGATACTGAGAGGAAAAGCCCTTTTTCTCAGGGAGGTGGCATTCTAGTGGGGCAGGAAGATGGCAGCAAGGAAAGACTTTGTAGTTGGGCTTCATGTTCTGCCAGTAGATGGATCCATTCAGTCCAACACCCCCTACACCCACACAATGCTTCCTTTCCATGCCCCACAGACCTCAATCAGGCCTTTCTAGAGATTTATTAATCTTCTTAATAATCTTCCTGAGGCACATTTCTTCACATTTCCCTCAAGAACCTAAGTGCTTCCCCTGGAGGTCTCCAATTTCTTTCTGGTTCAACTCAAAACTGTGCTATTAACACACTAGCAATGGCTCCACAGTATCCTTCCAGGACTGGGTTGCTCTTGGGAAAGGACAGAAGAGGGGGCTGTGAGAGTCTAAGAGCCTGGTCTGACTACAGCTTATACCTGAAGAAAATAAGGCCCAGGGAATTCTGAGGAGGTTTGTGCCAGAAGCATCAAGTGAAACCTGGCCTCAGCTCCTGTGGTAGCTGACCTGAGGCAGAGGGAAACACCTGTGTTCTGAGCATGATGAGGACCCATTGCCCACGAGGTAGCTCAGCAGGAAACAAGGTCCAACTAGGGTGTGCCACTGCAGATATGACAACCTGACCCAATCATCCTCTGTCATAAGAAAAATAAACCTAGAGGGTGAGTTCCTTACTGTGAGTCTCCTCCAGCTGCAAATTTCTTCCAGGTAAGGCCAAGACATCTTGGCACACAGAAAAGATATTTCAACCCTGCCCTGTTCAAATTCCAAATTACAGACTCATGGAATCAATAAGCATATGAAAATGGTTGCATTAAGTTGATAATTTTCAGGGCTGCAGCAATAGTAACGAGTATATTTACCTTGTCATAAGATAAGAAATTTCTCAGAACACACAGCATGAATAAAATTGGGCCCCAAAGGCACTGGAACCAAAGATGGGAAAGTTGCTCAAACTCTCTCCATCTTGAACCTCTCTCTCTGCACTCCTCCTTCAGTCTAATCTCTCTGTAGATCTCCCTCCTTTAGCTTCTCTAGACCACACTGTGGATGGAAACTGCCTTCCCACAGCTCCCATGAATACCTGCTACTAATCAGGTATAACTGGCTACACATCAGTCAGCCATTCAATCAAAATGTGCAAGGTGTTCCCTCTGGCCTAGTGTGGGTCAGATGTCCATCCAAGATCCAGTCCATGTCAGGGGACAGTGGAGCCACATTATACGGACATATGTTGGAAGACAGGAAGTCACCAGTGCTAAATTAATGGGGGTAGAGTGTGGGCACATAGGTCTTAACAAACATTCAGTATATTCTCAGAAGCAGAGACTTATAAAGAAATACTGTTGATGCCCAATCCTGTAGCCCATTGATCCACTTCAGGTAGACAGTTTCCTGCAAGGGAACAATTTCTCAGGTGCCTGCCCTTCTTCTCCACCTGAGAGCTTTCACTACAACCAATGATGCTTGCTCCCTTGCATACATGCAGCCCAACCTGGAAGTGCAGGGGAACATCCCAGGGACCACCTTCAACCAAGGTGGATAAGAGTTTAGATGAATGACCCAGGCTCCCCAACCCTAATAGGAGGATTCAGAGGAATAGCCTATATTTTCACATGATTTCTTAGAGTCTCCTGGGTGGGACCGAGCCTACTTGCCCACACGATAACCAAATAATTAACATATATTCTTGAATTTTTTACCTAGTTGGCATCTCCTCTTACCTATTTTCAAACTTGGGTTTCCTGGGATCACTTCCAAAATAGACTACCTGAACTCAAGTCCATGACTCAGAGTCAGTTTTGGGAAACCAAACTGAGAGATGGGATAAGGTAGAAATTTCACCACATATTGTATCCACCAGTGAAATTTATCTTTTCTGGAGAAGTACACGCTGAGCTGTATACCTTAGTCTAGTAAGTGAAGAAAGAGCTACAGATAAAATTTCCAAAGATTCACAGGCATCTCCAATCATGGAGGCCCCTAGTCTATAGAGGGGCCTACCAGAATGGAGGTCTCCTCCTCCTTCAGAGTGAGCGAGGCTGTGACTATGGTAAGTGCAGCAGGCTAAATACACCACACCATCATCTCTGCAACCCATGAATATGGTACATTATATGGAAAAAGGAAGCTTACAGATCGAATTAAGATTTTGGACCTTAAAGTAAGGAGATTATCCTGGAATCTTAGGAAAATTATCCTGGAATATCTGGGTGGACTGAATATAATCACCTGAGTTCTTAAAAGTGGAAGAAGGCAGAAGAATCAAAGAGATTTGAAGGAATAAGAACCAAGAGACATTCAAAGATTGAGAGGGACTCAAGCTGCCATTGCTGCTTTGAAGATGGAGAAAGGGGGCCTCAAGCCCAGGAAGGTGACAAGCTCTAGAAGCTGAGAATAGCCCTCAGTTGACACGCAGTAAAGAATAGCAACCTCAGTCCTACAACTGCAGGAAACTGAATGCTGCCAACAATCAGAATGAGCAAATAAACAGATCCTTCCCCAGGGCATCCGGAAAGGAACTCAGCCTGCAGGCACCTTGATATTTGCGTGATGAGACCCATGTTGGATCTCGAAGCTACAGAAATGTGAGATAATAAATTTACATTACTTTAGGTCCTGAAATTTGTGTTAATTTATTATGGCAGCAATAGAAAACTAACAAAATAAGGATTTTGTGAAAATATTGCAAAGAAGGAAACTGTGAAACTGTGGTGGTTAAACAGTGTGAGTTTAAAATCTAGGAAAAGCTCAGTTGAAGAGTGAAGATTATTAATAATTTTATTTGAGAAATGTAACTTGACAACCACATGCTGAGTAGAGTGGATACCGTGGTGAACAATAACAGTGATGATAATGAAGAGTAGCCTTTCCCCAGTATCCATCAGTACAAAGGAACATCCATTGATATCAATGCATGATCATGGGCGGAAATATCCCTTTCCTGGAGATGGAGTCTACAGTGTGGATAAAAATACCACTTAAGTTCATCTAGCTTCTGTCCTCCCAAATTGTTATTCCATAGACAATCTTTAGGTGTTAATTTAGGCTTGTAGAGAACTTCAAAGTAGGAAGATTGGTTCTGGCTCCTTAATCATGCATCACATTGACAGAGTGAGTACTCATGTGCCCATTGTTAGTGAAGGGTTTGGTCTCTAATCCCTTCACATCCTGTATGATGCAGTCCCTGTGAATTCACTCTCTGGACCACATCGCCCTGCACACTCAACCCAATGAAGTGCCAGACCTATGGCTCTGACAATCAACTTTGAAGGTACCAAGTGGGGATGTGGCCTCCATAGTCACCTACAGTGAGCCTCACCCTGGGGTGCCCTGAGCAGCAAGACTCAGGGCTGCTTATAGTACCTTGGGGAAAACAGGACAGGAAAAGAACAGGGTAGGGCCAGGAGGTAGGACAGGGGCTCAACTTCTCCCAGCAGCACAAATTTCTGTGTGAATTATATAAGTTACTTCACTTGGGCCTGCCTCAGTTTCCACATTCTCAAAATGAGACTACCTCACAGGGTTTTTGTAAGGGTTAAATGAGTAAAAGTCACTTAAACCATTTAGCACAACACCCAGTACATTTTCAGTTATCTATACATTTTAGTTATTATTGTTCAAATTCTAACTGTCATTCACTGCTGAGTCACCTTGGGAAAGTTAATTCAATTTTCTGCATCCCTGTTTCCTTATCTATAGAAGGGAGACAATAAAGTGGTACCAAACTCAACTGTCATATGGAATAATGGAATTAATATGAGTGAAGTGCTTCACACAGTGTGTGTATTTAGCAAGTATTTCATTGTTGTGATGTGTTGCTATGAAGGAGGAGGCCCTCAGCTCCACGCTGGGCAAGGGGAAGCTAGGATGTTACTTCATCCTTAGAGTCCCTTCCAATCAGCAGAGCCCAGGGTGCCTGGGGTCTCCAGGGAAAGCTCAGACACTAGGTCAGTAACAAGAGAACTCTGCATTCAGGTCAGTGCTGGGCAAATGGTCAAGGCAGTGGGATCTAGTGTTGAAATTCCAAAAATAGGGCACAGAGGCCCGGAGAAGGAGGTTTGCGGGAACGTGTAGATATGAGATCCATCCACAGCATTGTAGAATGAGACCTCACCATTCTCATAGTCCAGGAAAACCCCCACTCTTTGAGGAGGGTTGGCAATTTTCAGCTTGGTCCTGAAGTGAGCGAGAGCTTGATAGTCTTCCCCATTAGACAGCTCCATAGTCCAGAATCCATTTTTGGGTGCTCTACAAATAGAGTATTTCCTCTCCACATTCTCCATGCACACCCCGACATGCCAGTTTTTCCTATCTCCCACCTCCACCTCCCAGAAATGTCTCCCTGATGTGAAGCTCTCGCAGCCAAGCACAGAGTAATGCGAATCAAATCTCTTACGGTTGTCTGGCAGATTCTGTCGTCGGTCCACCCACTGCAAGCTCCTCTGGTCCTCAGAAACAAGGAGATTGGGGTTTGCTGTGTTCGGATCCAGAATCACATCCGCTGCAGAAAGTTTGGGCATGGGTCGTGGGCTCAATCATTGTTCCCAGACCTCAGATCATCAGACCTTCAAGATCTTCAAGACCTGGGTCTGGCAGAGGAGGGCCAAGTCCAGAGCCTGGTGTCCCCAGCCTGCCTTGAATGTGACCCTCTCAGCAACACCGAAGGAAAGGGCCAGGGGTCTTTTGTTCAGTGGAGTACAGTGTTTAGGGTCAGGATCTGCCTAACTTGACGTCACTAGTTGGCTCCTTCCTTCCATCTTTTTCCTATTTCCCTCCCAAAAATGATTCAGTCCACCTGTGCTTTATAGTCACATAGATTTACATTTCAATCCTTGCTCTGCCACTGCTGAGCTGAATAACTTTTCTTTTTCTACAGTCTCTTTTTCCATAGTCTGAAGCTATATATCTTTGAGCCTTAATTTCCTTATCTGGAAAATGGGGATAAAAGTACTAATCTCTGGGTAGAAAAAGACAACAAATGTTTTATACGAAGCCCAGGGCCAGGCATGGAGGAAGTACCTGATGTTATAGTAGCTCCATGCCTTTTCTGTGCTAGAGGGCATGTTGGGGGCTTTCTGTGCTCCCAGATCCCTTCTCTTCCTTCCTCTACCCACTTCTGGGCCCCAGCAATCTGTCCTCTGTGGACAGCATCACTGGGCTCCCTTGCCTTGGTTACCTATTGGGTTTGGCCAATGGGAGGTACTAGCTGAAGATTGGAAGGAGAAAGAGAAGAGAAGCAAACATTTATTTCCCCCACTTCCTCCCAGCCAGTGTCGGATGGTGATGGCCTAACACAGGCATGACTCCTCTCAGGCAGCCCTGTCCTTGAGCTACGGCTTCCTCTGGGCTCCGGTAACTTCTCCCTCTCCCTGTTCCTTCAAACCTATGGGTGGTGACAGATCACCACTGTTGTGACCCCTGGGGAACATCACATTCCCTTGTTGGTTTCCTTTAACCCTAATCCTGCCTTTGTAAAGAGTTCCTTTTCTAAACCTTCTTCAAACCACCCAGTTTGAACATGCCGTTTATTTGCAGTTGGTTTTTTATGACCCATACACATTCATTACCTCATTTAGTCTTTACCTCTACCTTCACATAATAGAGATTATGATCATCGTTTAAAAACGAGGAGACTAAAGTTCAGAACGTTAACTGACTTAGAGACACTCAGCAGCAGGAGGTGGCATAAGAAGCTTGGGGAAAGTAAAAATCTTTGCACATTGCCTTCTCTCCTTGGTCATTCCACGTCCTCCCTCTCCCTGCAGTGTTAGTTCACTCTGCCTCTCCTTCCCTCAGTCTACCCTTTATGCCTCTTCCTTCCCATGAAGATCTGTGGACCCAGGAGAGCAATCCTCCCTGCTTCTCTGGGCTCTCAGCAGGAAGGCCCTGGAGATGGGCAAAGCTTTGAGACCAGGACTTCAAGTCACCCACTTGGAACACTCCCAGTCATGGGGAATTTCTTCCCGGAATCTCAAGACTTGGAGAAAAACGGCATAAGGTCCCTCAGGTTGTTGTCCTAGGGAACATACAGTGATTCACTCACCAGCTTGGAAGAGGGCCATCTTCCATTCTGAAAGGCAGGAGACACAAACAGGGAACGGGAATTATTTCTGTTCTTGCTGCATCCATTCTCCTCACTAAGCTTTTTCCCTCTCCCTTTCTTCAGTCTCTTCCAATGTCCAGATTCCTTAATCTACAGCTCTGCCGAATCAGAATCTAAAAAGTAGTGGACTTCCTTCACTCCGTCATGCTGGGGCTGCAGGCGAAATGGGCAGGCTTTGCTAGGGTGTGAGCCTACGTGCCAGCTGGGTAAGGGGTGACTGAAACTGGCCAGAACCTGTGTCTGGAAAGTCCTTTCTGGGGTTTCAGAAAAGCATGGGTGGTGTCTCCCACAGAAAATGAGCCTCTGGGCTAGATCTAATTATTCCTACTGGGAATGCCAATGGGTCATACAACAGAGAAAATGTTTAAGTGCTTAGTACACATGTGCCAGGAAACTCAGAGAGCATCAGGGTCACTCACCATCATAGTCCAGAGACTTCAATCTACCTACAATGGAAGAAAGGTAGAGATGTCACCTGAACTATGTCACTTCTGTGTGATCTAATTTCTCTTCTTTTGCACCAACCTAATCTTTCTTTTTGACCCCCATCCCCTCCATCCCTACCTTCTCCCTCTGCCTGTTCAATGCGCTCCTCCCTCTCCTCCTTAATATGAAATCTGAGAACATCAATAAGAAATAAGGGTGGCTGTTTGGGGGCAAGCACAGGGAGGCCATGTTTTTAATGGGGAACAGGGCCTTCAATCTCTCTCCAGGAGGGGCCCACAGACTCTTCAGCCCAGCAAGGCACCAGTGAACATATAGGGGTGGACTTGAAAAGAAAGGAGGAGGAGGAAGAGGATGAAACTCCCTCGATGAAGTGCCTTCCCTATTCCCATCAACTGTGTGCTGATATACCACAGGCACCATGCAAGTGCTTTCCCAGCTGAGACCTGGCAGCTCTATTCTGTATGTATCCATACTGCCATACCTGGGCACAGGTGTCACTGTGTGTATACCTGGATATGTATATGTACTAGAATCCATCTTTCTCAGGCTTTATGATGTCCTGCCTACTTCGAAAAAGAATCGGACAACTTAATGAGGGAATTTCAGACACTGTTTTTTTAAAAGCAATTCTAACAAGTCTATGACAACTAAGCCACTGTGGTACTCCTTTTTTTTTATGCACTTTTCTCTCTCCTTCTTCTCATATTTCCTCATTCTTTTAAATCTTACATTCTTTGTTTTCTTCTCAGCAGCCTACAGATTATGTAAAGCAATTAGTGAGATTCCCAGCATAGGGAGGGCACTTTATCTAGGGAGTTCCATCCCCCTCCTCCTCCTTTCCTGTCAAGTGCACCCAGGATATTCCCTGGTGCTTGCTGGGCTGAAGAGTCTGTGGGCCCCTCCTGGAGAGAGATTGAAGGCCCTTTTCCCTAATAAAAACACAACTCCCTTATGTTTCCCCCCAAAGAGCCAGGCTTATTTCTTTCCCTTGGTAAAGGGATCCTGGATATTTTTCAGCCCTGGGCAGAGTTAGGGGTGAGGAAAGGGGCTGGGAAATATTGGAGCAGAGAGTCTTAGAAGAAAATTCAGAGAAAGTGTCAGAGACGCTCAGGCATGAGCCATGACAGGCGATCCATCTCTCATACATCTGCAATGGAAGGAACCTGAAGGGTCATGAAGCAGATTAAGGCAGAGATACCGAGCCATGGTGGACCCCTCGGGGAATCTGAACTTACGCAGTATACGCTGGAGGTACCCTGGAAAATAAGCAGGGAAAAAAATTACTGTTCTGTGGAGGACCTTTGGAAAATAAAACCTACTAATGACCCAGTACAGTGGTTGGTGCTTGGGGTGGCGATGGAGTGAGATCCTTAGGGGCACCCTCCCCTAAGCCAGTGCCTCAGGTTCCCTCCCTGGTCTGATACCTCTTTCCCTTCGTTCCTCTTCCTTTTCTGCTTGCTCTCTCTCTATCACCTGCTGCTGTTTCCAGAGGAAGTAAGCAGCCCCTGCAAGAAGCAGCAGCAAGACAGGCAGGGTCCCAGCCAAAGCTACTATCCAGGGCCTGGCTCTCCAGAAGAAGGGGTCTGCAATGGAATGGAGCATTAGCCTCTCACCCCCAGGGCGGGGATCACAGAGTTGATCTCATGACCTTAAATGATTCTTCTCCACCTAAAGTCGCAGAAAACTCTGGGGAAAACTTCGGTAAACTCTTACCATAAAATAGTCTATTCCTTGTCTTGAAATGTCTGCTTCTCACATGTGAATAGGAGTTACTTGAGCATCAGAATCACATTTTTTCTAATTTAATTTTTCAATAGTTTACATTTACATGGTTCAAATATCAAAAAAATATAGAAGGTTGTCCAAGTCTCCCATCCACTGCCTCCTCCCTCCCCCCATTTATTAGTATCTGATTAGTCAGCTTAACATGGTTGTTAAGAATAGGAACTTTGGAGCTGGAGGGGCTGCATTCAAATTCTGGCTCCTCCACTTGACTGGCTGTGGGATCTTGGACTAATTCTTAACTGCTCTATTCCTGATGTCCTAATCTGTGATATGAGGGAAATAATAGTACCGTACTCATAAGGTTAAAGGATTAAATTAATGCTTATAAAGAGTTTGACACGAAGTGAGTGTTATTCAAGTGTGTATTAAATTTTTTAAATATAAATATCCTTCTATTTTTTTCTTTTTTACACCAAAGACAGCATTCTACACAAACCACTCTGCATGTGGCTTTTTCTCTTCATCTCAGAGAATCTGCCACATTAGGACAGAGCAAATGTTTGTGTTTTCTTTCCCAGCTGTGCAACATTCCATTGCATAGAAGTTCCCCACTGGTGGACTTCTGCATAGGTTATAACTTTTCGGTATCATAATGAATGCTACAACAAATAGCTTTTTACATGAGTCATTTTATACATACGCATACATTTCATACAAGCATATCTGTCAGAGAAATTCCAAGCAGTGGGATTCTGAGATGAATATATAAGTAGTTGGGAGAAATACTGCTTACTGCCCCTAATAGAAGTTGTGCCAATTTATACCAAAAATACACCAAATTGTACCTACAAATGCCTAAAAGTGACTATCTCTCCACAATCCTGCCATCAGAATGTGTGATCTGCAACCTGGTTTTGTTGTCTTTTGTTTAGTTTCCAATCACAAGTGGTAAATGTTTTTGTTTTTTTTTTTAAAGATTTTATTTTTTCCTTTTTCTCCCCAAAGACCCCCGGTACATAGTTGTATATTCTTCGTTGTGGGTCCTTCTAGTTGTGGCAGGTGGGACGCTGCCTCAGCGTGGTTTGATGAGCAGTGTCATGTCCGCGCCCAGGATTCGAACCAACGAAACACTGGGCCGCCTGCAGCGGAGCGCGCGAACTTAACCGCTCGGCCACTGGGCCAGCCCCACAAGTGGTAAATGTTTTAATACTTGCTCCTCTATAGACTGAGATGGGACATCATCTTATGTGTTATTCCCTTTTATGTGAACTAATAATTCATGCCCTTTGCTCATTTTTCTATTTTCTATTTTCTATTGCTCATTTTCATTTTGAGTTGTTTTATATTGTAAGGAGATTAGTTCTTTCTATAAGACATCAATCATACATATTTTTTTCCCATTTTGTCATTTGTCTTTGCTTAAGGGTCTGATCTTTACCATGTTCCCCCAATTCTCACTGCTTGTCACAGTGCCTGGCATTCAGGAAATACTTAGTAAATATTTGTGACATAAATAGCTTTATGGGGAAAAGAAACATGCCAAAAGTAAGAAAAAGGCTCTGGATCCCTGCTCTGTGCCTTATATTCACTACAAAGATCCAAATCAGCAACAAAGAATTACACGTCTTCCTTCTTTCAGTAGCCACAGCTGAGCACAGTATACCTAGGACTAAGCAGGGTACTGACCTGCAATGGAAATCCTGGCTGACTTTTCCTGCCTGAGGAGGGGATTTCTGATGATACAGGATACCTCGTCTTCAGAGTCATCTTTCACGATCACAGATGCTGCGACTGCATACAGATCTGCTCCGTCCAACTCCAAAGGTCCTGGTACAGCTGGCATGTCTGTTCCCTTGGCGTCTATCCACTGTATTTCGGGTCGAGGATACCAGCCAGCGGACATGCAATCCAAACGGATCCCTCCATCCTCATGACCCTTCATTTCAATGTGACAATCAGAACCCAATGCTGTGGAAGGATAATTGAGCCTGAATTCTTTACAAAGAAGCCTCTTGCATTGATGAGAGTCTCAACAGGAATCCAATGACACAAGCACATTAGATAATTCAAGGGGAGTTTCATTGAGGAGGTATTTACAAATGCATGGTTGTGGTGAGGGGAAAACTACATAGGATGGAGCAACACCCCAGGGCCAAGAATAGTGGAGCTGTTACCAGCCACCGCTAAACCCAAAGGGAGGTGGAAAAGAAGCCATTTTGAAGCCTTAAAGAAGAAAATCATATAGAGACGGCTTTCTTGAGAGGAACTATGATCTTTGGGAATGGAATGCAGCCAGCTAGAGGTGGTCCTACAGGGAGAAAGCCTATGGGGTAAGTACCTGGACCTCTCTCTCCTCTCCTTCCTTCCATCCTCTGCTTTGGCCCCCTATTGACCAACCCAGCCAGAAAATACAGGCAAGAGAGTGCCCTAAGAAAGAGAAATGCAGCCCTTGACATCTGGACATCGGCCTGGTTTCAGTGTTCTCCTGTTGAACATAAGCAATTTCAAGGAACATCAACATCAGACAAGGGCACCTTGTCACTATGATGGGTCAAGACAAAAAGACCACTCAACAATCATGTTTGACCGTAGAGGAAAACATGTACACAGTCCAAACCACAATCACGAGTAAACATTTCCCTATCCTGGCTATGAGTGACTGCTGCTCCTTAACCAATTACGGCTTTAGCTTCACTCTAGTCTTCCTCCTGATAAGACTTATGAAGACACCCACCCACAGAATCACTCCCTCCAGTTTCCTGATAGATACAAGCCAGATCAAAGTCCCACTTCCATAAACCCTCCTGAATCCCCTAACACAATCCCAAATTCTATACCAATCTTCTCTAACACCATCTTAACTGAGACACCCCATGATTACCACACATGAGCCTTCTCCCTCCCTGCAACAAGTAACAAACACAACTTGGTCAACTGCTGGTGTGTTCCTGGGGCCCTTTGGTGGGAGAACATTGGCAGCACAGATGCTGTCCTACAGGTCAGCCTCCCAGGACCCACAGCAGTGTGCACCTGGAGGAGCCACAGAAGCCATCTGGAACACAACTGAACCCAAACAAATGTGTGCCATCAGTGAGGAGATATTTCCTTATCCTTCCTAACTCTGACCTTTCAATTCCTCTTAGACCCTGGTGACCAGCATGAGGGAGTTCTTTGCTTGATATTATATGGTACAAGAGGGATTACTCCTAGAGGAAAACCTGTGTCTTTCCCAAGAGCCTAAGAAACAAAGTGGGAAGGTAGTGGAGGCAGTTCCTCGTGACCAGCCAGGCTGCTCTGAGGTGGATTTGGAGGAGGACTTCTCCCTCTGCACCCAGGTCCCAGGGAGGAACGAGCTGAGAACAAAACTTGGAGGCTCACCTGCAACCTTCAGCTCCACCATGGCTTTTTCATAGAAGTTTTCATCTTGGAAATAACAAAGGTAGTTTCCACTGTCAGAGACTCTGACACCATAAATTCGGAGAGTGGCCTTCCCTTCAGTGATGCCATCTCTTAAAATCGAAGTTCTCCCTCGATACTCTGCCATCTGTTGGTCTTCTACTTCCTTCTCATTTGCATACTCATATACTACCTCCCTAAGGCTGGATCTCACCCACATTAGCTCCATGGTCTCTGCACTCATCTTCAGGGAAAGATGACATGGTAAATCAGTGTCTTCACCCACCATGGCCAGGATGGGACCAGGGGGTCCAATCACAGAAAACTGAGCTGGTCAGTAAAAGGAGAAGCTCCATCAGAGGAAGTTGGGACAACGAAGGTAAGGGAGGGGGGATCTCACACAGGTTGGTGAGGTACGGAAAACCTAGAGAGGAACAGGATCCTGACAGAAGTAAAATTTGTCTTAATGGCATGTGCGCCTTCAATTAGGATTGGATTTATAGGTATGATAAGTTGTCAGAGGTTCTGACAGGGCACTAATAGGCAATTGTCTTCTTCAAATACATAAAAGCTGAATGTTCCCTACCTGAGCAAGGGGTAAGCAGCTGGACCAAGATGAGGCAGACAAAGAGGTGGAGCAGAGGGAAATCTAAGGAACTTGCCATTTTCATCTGTGCTGCAGAGAGACGGTGGAAAGAGGCAGAAACTACGACCTGGAAGAAGATGGCGAATTCCACATTAAACTTCCATCTCCCCAAGGCTGACTCTGGGTGAAACACGGAGTCACTAATATGGTGACTCAAGATCCTTTCCTACTAAAATTTCTGTTTGGGAATCTCTTAACCTTTGAGTTCCAACATGAAAAATCACTCGTAAAAATATGAAATGTTAAGTGTACATACATTTAACATGTAAATCTTATGTATGTCTTGATAAATGTACGTGCATTAACCCTTAACCCATGAGGAAATCCTTGACTCTACAGTCCAAATATGTCCCTCTCTGAGTCCCCTGATTCCACATGTGTCCCCCATAATCTATGCTCAACACAAGAACCCGAATGGTTTTTGAGTCACATCATGTCACTACACTGCTCAACACCTTCCAGTGGCTCCCATTTCACTCACAGCAGTTGCTGAAGTCCTCACAATGGCCCACATGGCCCTCCAGGAGCTGCGCCTCTCACTTCATCTCCCCTACTCTCCTCATCTCCTCCAGACACACTGCCCTTCTTGCTGGCACTTGAACAGGCCAGAACAGAGGACTTCGGCCCTGACTCTTTCTTCTACCTGGAACCCTCTGACCCCAGTATCCACAGGCTCACTCCCTTACCTCCTTCAGGTCTTCCTCTAAAGTCCATTCCTCCATGAGAACTTCCCTGACCACAGGATTATGGCAACTGCTCCCATCCTCCTGAGCCTGCTCTCTTTTGCCCATTAAATTTTCCCTATTTAACATATCACGTGTTCACCGTCTGTCTCTACATGCTCAAATGGAAGCTCCACAAACTAAAGATATTGGTCTATTTTGTTTACTGATATGTAACAGCTGGTACAACAGTGTGTTGTTCACAAGGAACTCTCAGTAAATATTTGTTGAATGAGTGAATGGATGAGGGGTAACATATTAACGAATAAACATTAGAATTTTAAATCGATTTGGATGATCAGATTAACATGTTGTCGTCTGGCAAGATGGGAGGTGGAGAGTTATGAAGACAAGTGTCTGCCTCTGTAATGACCTTCTATTTTAGTCTGACTTAGAGAGCAGAGCCCAGCCTCCTGTGCTCCCACTGGGACTTGTCTGTATCAATGTATTTATTCCTACTTTCCAATGAAGTGGTTTCAAAGAGCAAGCATGTCCTGGATATGCATGTGAGAGTGTTACAACTGGGTATGCTTCAGTGCACTCTTTTCACAATTGTTCTTTGGAGGAGAAACATCCCTAGGAAGGAAATTATTCACTTCCTGTCTTCCCCAGGTGTTCACCAATGCTCCTAGGTCGATGGCCTCTGGGCTCACCAGCAATGGATAATTTCCCTGGTCTTAGTCTTTCCACTGGTAGACAAGTGTCTTTCAGAGGCAGAGATGTAAGAGCTGGCACTTACGAACAACGGGCCAATATGTCCAGCCAGGAGCACACAGCAGCCTAACAAAGCTCATGCCTCTACAAAATGCTGAGGTTTTCTAAGCTCAGAAGCAGGGCCCCTGCAACTCCCCACTCCCAGCCCAGTGCTCCCAACTGTATCTTGGCTCAGAAAAGCACCTCTACCATCTTTTAGGCATGGTCTGTGGCATCACTGTGAACCTTTGTGATAAGGAAGTGTGGAGCTGTCGCCAGCTGGCAAGGCTTGATTCAAACTGGAGTTCATGCTTGGCTTCCATCCTAACCACCCCATATTTGGTTGCATCCCTAGATAGTGGAGAGCCTGAGAGCAGGCCTAGGTGGATTACTCAGAGATAGGACTGAGATCTTGGGACCTAACCCCTCCCTTCCCCCTTGGTCCTCTCCCATCATGTATCCTCTCCTTCCCTGAAGACATCATGTGGGATTGCTTGGTGACAAATGACTCAATGGTTCACACATCTTGGGAGCAACACTGTGGACTCCTGTAAGCCCCAACCCGTAGCCATCATCAACTTCAAATCACATCCCCATCAGACTCTGCTTAAGATCCAGGCAGACTTCCTGGTGGAGGCGCCGGAGTCAAAGGCTGAACATATCACTTCTTAATCACAAGATCAGTGAATGAGAGAGCTAGAATAAGACCAGGTCTCACCCATCTTATCATTCATTCATTCAACAAACGTTTATTAAGCATACATTATGTGCCAGGCCCACTCTGTGTTAGTGTAGGAACAAAAAGGATATGAAAACTAGATAATAGCACTAGGATTCACAAGCTGTGTGAATTCAGTCATGTGACAAAACCTATTTGAACTTCAGCCACTCGTGAAACAATGTGAAACATGAACTTTGGAACGTGCATAATTAGCCCAGCAATTTCATTTCCAGATCTGCATCAGCAAAGCACGTGCATGAGGCCAGAAAGAAGCACCTATAAGGATGTCACTGCAACATTATTTTTAAAAGTAAAAAAGTGATCAAGAACCTAACCATTGGAGACTGGTTAGTTAGATAATGGCTCATCCCTATGAAGGAATTCAATGAGGCAGTTAAGACTAATTTATAATCACTAACCCAAATAATCAAGATATATTAAGTGAATAAAAAGCACATTGCAGAAAAATACTAATGATTCTATTTAAAAAAAAAAAAAAGCCATAAATTTGTATATACATGTTTATGTCATTGCCTTAAAAAAAGGTCTGAGGGGGCTGGCCCGGTGACACAGCGGTTAAGTTCGCATGTTTCCCTTCGGCGGCCGGGAGTTCACCAGTTTGGATCCCGGGTGCGGACATGGCACTGCTTGTCAAGCCATGCTGTGGCAGGAATCCCACATATAAAGTAGAGGAAGATGGGCACGGATGCTAGCTCAGGGCCAGTCTTCCTCAGCACAAAGAGGAGGATTGGCAGCAGCTGAGAGCTTAGGGCTAATCTTCCTCAAAAAAGAAATAAGTAAAAATAAAAAATCTGAAAGGATACATGCTACACTGAGAGTTGGGGATTGAGTGAAAGATACTTTTGTCCTTTGTTCCCTATACTTTGAAAATTATATGCATATTTTAAATTTTAAAAGTTTTTGTGTATAATTTAACAATTAATAATTGTTACAAGTAATTATAGTGCCTCCAGCATATTAGTTGTTCAGAAAATACCAACTCCTCCAAAACAAACCAGATGAGGCCCCCGTCATAGTACCGGCAAGTCGGGCAACTGCTGGGGGACAAGGGAGCAGAAGTCTGTGCAGCTGGCGGTGCTTCAGACCCTTGTCTGACACCTGGACACAACCTCAGGCAAACTATCGCCTTTCACTGCACCCTCTCCTCTTCAAACTCTTCTCCGCTGCTACAGAGAGGACAGTGTTCTTTTTATTATAACAGGTACAACTTCCCTGCTGTCCTCAGAGTGTGGAATATGTTTACACTTATTTTTAAGGGTATTTCTTGTTTTTTGTTAATGATTATAGATAATTTTAAAATAGGGAAAAATATAAAATTTAAATAATCTGTAATGGTAATGATAAACTTCACTTCACGAGAATGTAAATATTTCTGGACACATTTGGGCCATATATATATATATATATACCAAATCCCTTAGAAATGCTCCATCGTTTGACCCAGAAATTCCACTTGTATGAATTACTCTTAAAGAAAAGCAATCAGATGTTAACACAAAGAGTTCTGTTTAAGGCTGTTCAACACAGTGAAATCTACAATAGCAAACTGTAGACACAATTCAGATAGCCAAGGTGAATCCAATTTTGTTACAATTAGAAATGAAACTTTATTAAAAACGTGATTCCTAATGACTGTATGATAATCCCTCTATGATTGGACAACATGTTGTTTATTCATGCTCCAACTGTTGCATATATACATGTATGTTGTATATGGAGGTTGGTTCAGATTTTTCTATAAGTAATTCTGTAACGAACATCTTTACATATAAGTCTTTGAGGCACTTATTTTTCTTTTAGTCTCTTAGGATACATTGCCAGACACGACCAGGAGAGACTGAGCCCTTTGCTCCTTTCTGACCAGAGTAAGTTCCTAAGAACATGCAGTTGGCAAGTTTCTTCATTCAGGCTGTCTCCCTCCCACCAAATTTCCCAGTGCAGGTCCTTACCTTTTGCACTGCCTCCTGCCCCCACCACCCGTCGCCTCACCTCACACACTAGCACCAAACCCCTTTCTCTGAGTGAGGACTTCCTGTACCCACTCTCAGCTTTTTAGCCTCTCTCTTTCCAGGGCCTGTGTCCCAGCATTTTACCAATTTTCCCAACTTACCTCTTGGCATTTCCATCTGAAAATTACAGCCCACAGAATGAAGGTAATACATACTTCTCCATTGTAGTTAACAGTCTGCTCTGGAAGAAAACGAAAAGAAAGAAAGGCTGCTCCCTGTCAGAAACAGTAACAGAGTCCCTCTTTGGAAGAATTCGTTTTCTGATTGGTTCAGAGGGGGGCTCCTTATCAGTTGCTGGACAGAAACCAACGCCAAAGGTAGAAGGAAAACTGAAACTGTATTGGATTGTACAAAAGAAGAAAGATTACAGCCCTAACTCCCACACTGTTTGTGTTTACCTATTTGAATCATTGTGTGTTTGTGTATAATCAGTATTTCATTATATACACTTCTTTTATGTCTTTTATTTCACAATAGTTTTATCAGAAGAACTAAGCAGAAAAATTAGAAGATTTTAAAGAGTGAAGGGAGGAAGAGATGCATTAATTACAACATTTCTGTGGTCATTTGCTAACATCTGTGTGCATGTAGGTAGACACATGGAGGAGGACATCTTTTACAACAGAGCAAAATGGAAGGATAGACAGGAAGAAAACCAGATCCTCTCCATCTTTTCAGCACCTCTGAAACTCAAGTCTCAATCCATGAGCAAATCATATAATTTTCTGGTTTCCAGAGGCAGCGCTGCCAGTGACTGATCGGCGTGTCTTATATTTTCAGAACATTCTTATTTGGAGTGTTGCTGAGCAGCTTCCTTCACTCTCTGCGCCTTATTTGTGCTACATTTATATGTTCACGGGTATTTATTTCTACTATGCCTGCAGGATTCCTGTATTCTCTGAGGTTAGACTCTGGACAGACTGTGAATC